TTTCCATAGTGGTTGTACTAGTTTGCATTCCCACCAGCAGTGCAGGAGAGTTCCTTTTTTTCCACATCCTCACCAACATTTGTTGTTGCTACTTGTTCTAAGTTGTGTCATTCTTACTGGGATAAGTTTGTATATCATTATGGTTTTGATTTGCATCTCCCTTATTACAAGTGATGTTGAACACATTTTTCATATGCTTGTTGGCTGTCTGCATTTCCTCTTTGGAGAAGTATCTTTTTAGCTCTTCTGCCCATTTTTTGATGTGGTTGTTTATTTTCATGAAGTTTCATCAGCTCTTTGTATATATTTGTGATCAGTCCTTTGTCTTTTGTATTGTGTACAAATATTATCTCCCAATTGTGCAATGTCTCTTTTGCTGTACAAGGTGCTTGTGTAGTGTCTCTTTTGTGGTACAATGTGTTCTATTATTAAAAGAGAATGTCTTTTCTTAGGGCTACTGCAGATTCAGCTCAACTATATCACTGCCTATTACACCTACGTCCTCCTCCTTCTCAAGAGCATGGTCTACTTTGCCATCATCGCCTTCAGTCTGTTCAGTGCAGGAGTCTGGAGCTATGGAAAGAGTCCATAACAAGTGGCCAAAGTCTTCAACATTTGCTACCATTTACTGTCCTTGAGAGTGTCTGCTGCAGATCCAGCTGGGCTGTTCTTCTGAATTTGGATTATTTTTGTTCTCTTCTTGTATATGTTTATTATGTTATTATTATATAATTCCCCCCCCCCCCGTTTACATGAAAAACTGGGAAAAGAGAAAATTTACTCTGTAATAACAGGAAATGTTGTCATTATTCAGGGCAAGCCAAGGAATATCCCAAAAGTACCAAAGAACATGTCTAGTAGCACTGCCTCCAACTCCTGCTGGCCCAACTATCCTGTTTTCTGAGTATAGACTGCAAGCAGCTTCCAAAATGATTAGCCATATAATTGCCCTGACATGTTTAATAATCTTTAATATATGTTAATATATGTTAATTTTATTTTAAAATTCTATTTTGAAGTGTTTCATCTTATATACCCTGAAACTGCCATAGTTGCCTCTTGAATTCTGTTTTGCTTTACATAAGAGATGCAACAAATAAAAAATGAAATTAATGTTATGTGTTAATTAACATTGTATGTCCTTTAATTTGATAAAATCTAATTGAAAGTTGACTGTAAGAAACAGCATGAAAACTGAGCTCTCAAATTCAGCAATAAATGTTACAGTAGCCAACAAATATCTCTACTTCTTTTCAGAGACAGTTGTTATGGCTCTTTCTTGGGGCACTGACTCAGTGACATCCACACAAAATGAAAGGATTTTGGGGCCTCCCTGATGGTGCAACGGGTTAGGACACAGCACAGCAAGCTAGTGGCAGCCATTTAAGTGCGAGTTGTATCCCCAGCCGGAGTTGATCCACATGGCGACGCAGACCTCTCCTGTCTCGCCCACTGCTCCCCTCAGAGTGTACTTGGTCAATAGGCCTGTTGTGTTCCCCTCTGTGTCTCTGGTGATCCTCTCACTTCTCTGAACCTCTGGCCTGTACTCCAGTTCTCTATGCATAAATAAATAACACTTTTAAAAAAAATGAAGGTGTTTCAATACTTCTCTTGCAAAGCTGCTTGATTGAGATTTTTTGGTTTGGGGCACTCCCATGGCAAGTGGCTGAGCCTACCACATCTTGCACTGTGTACTGGTGCTTCTCAAGCCCTATGGTTCCTGATCCTCACATAATCTAGGAGAGCTGCTCAAACATCGGCCAGGCAGCAAGGAGGAAGAGGAAGGCCCTACATGGTGAGGCTACTGGGTTTGAATCCTGAGCTTTTGTTTATACCTGTGTGCTGCCTGGTGAGCTACATGAATCTTAGTGCATCATTTCTTCACCTGAAAATGAATGACCAGAGCCCTATTCCAGAGTTATGGAATTAGATGAATTACTAGTGCTTTTTATGCAATCCATAGAATGAGTCTCTACTATTAGTAACTATTCTTTAAAAATTTTCAGACACCCAAGCACAAAGGCACTGGCTTACCTCTTGCTGGATCAGGTAGCCCTGTGGAGAGGTCAACTGAGGATGGAATAAGGAGTTGGTGAGCTTCTACCTCATATCAGACAATCTCTGTAATTTTCTAAGAACACTGAGACAGGGACAGTGCTAATGCACAATTTACAAGACTTAGGAGAATTCCTTATTAGTTCAATTTCACCAGAGTAATTGTCAGACTTTAAAGCCCTGAGGCTTTGAACTCAGACCCATATTTTACATTTGTATAGATAGCAAATTGACATAGGGAGGTTATTGTCTTGTGGTCCTGTGTTAAAGACAGGGGCACAGGGCTGGTTTTTTTTTTATTGATTATCTGTCCTTTTAAAAAGCATGCATCCTGGCCATCCCTGGTGGCACAAGGGGTTAAAGTACAGCATTTCTGATGCAGCCAGTGCAGCATGAGTTCGATCCCCGACCAGGTAGCTGATGCACATGTTGCAGCAAACCTCTCCTGACCCGCCTGCTCTTCCCCTCAGCAGTGTACTTCAGTACATCTGCCTGTTTTGCTTTTTGGTGAATCCTCTCACACCTCCCCCACACCTCTGGCTCATAACCCTATTCTGTATGCATAAAGAAATCAATTTAAAAAAAGCAACAGCATACATCCAACTTCTGAAAACCAGCTCTCTGTCTGAATCCAAGAAATGGTATCTCATCTATGAATCCTAAGTCAAAAAACAAACACTGTAATTTGATCTAAAATCCAGTCCCTGGAAAGAATTACACAAATGCTTAGTTCCTACAATTGAAGGTCTTTTGCTATTAATAATGAACCTCTTTACAAGAAAAGGTATTTTAATTGTCCATCATGTTGAAATTATTGGTTCTTCCTGCCTATAGCTCATAAATACTAGCAAGAACAAACATGACCTGAGAGCATATTCTAAAGATATTATGCTATGTTTTGAATGAGTTTTCTTGCTGAGGTTGGACCTCAGCTCTGCTGCGATCATTAAATGGTCCTCCATATTGGTTTTTATATTCTGCCTTTGGAGAGATGGTCTACAGAAGATCAGCTAGTAAGTGAGTGTGTGAGGGAATTCTCAGTGTTCTAAATTGTTTGACACTTTAAGTCTCTTAAACCTCATCATAAACTATGAAACCACCTCTGTTGTTAAGTCCTTTGACTCATGCAGTGAGTGAAACCACGTGTCTCAGGAACTTGTCCTAATACAGAGCTGGTACTTGGCAGAGTAGCATTGTACTCAGGTCACCCCAATGCAGAGTCCATCCTTCTTTTAAAAAAAAAAAAAGATTATTTATGCACACAAGAACTGGGGCACAGGCCAGAGGATTCACTAGCGACAGAGTAGGGAGAAGAATAGGCAGATGAACTGAAACACACTGCCGGGAAGCAGCACAAGACAGGAGAGGTCTACTGCACCATATGGGGATTGAACCCCTGCATAGTGTGCACAGGTAGCTCCAAGGTGCTGTGTTTTAACCCCTTGTGTCACCCGGGAGGGCACCCCATCCTCTTGATATGAGGAAAATAAGTGTTGTGTCTTCCTTCTATGCGATGGAGTACTAAAAGCTAACCTTTGTGGAATACTTGCTAATTCATCATTTTATACTGAATCATGTTACCAGGATTTGAGTTATTTCTCCGAGTACCTGTAATGTCAATAAAAAAATTGCTTTCCAAAACACAAAATAATAACAATACGATTGTTTTATGAAGCCACCTCTAAATTAAGTGTAAAAAATGAAGAATGTCCTTTAAACTTCATCCTTTTTATATAGTACACACTAGGCACCCTTGAGGGAACATTGATTGCACCTGCTCTGGGCCCCACACATTCTCTATTTATTTGACAGTTTCTAAGGTCAAGGCAGCATGTTCATTCCCATCACTTGCTCCATGAAGGACTTTGATTCTAATTCTCAGCTCAGGGAGGCCCTGTCAAAAAGGAAGTTCATGAAAGACGACATGGAGCCAGCCTGCTAGTCTACCTCCCCTACTCTTTTGCACACAACCTTTTGTGATTCTAACCTGTTCAAGTATCCTGACCAGCATATCTGGGCTGTAACTGGTGTCTTGAACCTCGGTAAGGATTTTCTGGCTACTTTCACTTTAAGAGAAGCTAATCTAGAGAGCAGGACCTGAGAGAAAAATAAAGAACATGAGTGCACATCTTTTACATCCAGGAATGCACAGATGGATGCCAATATCATTGCTACATTTTTCACAAGGTCATCTAATAGTCAAAAGAGATGTGAAAATGAAGTATCTTCGGGGTTTGCCCCGTGTTCATATCTAAATGTGTGAATCTCTGTCAGCTCCTTGTTTGCTGGAGCACATGGTGAATAGAAGGAACAGTGTCAATTGATTTCTGTTTCATTCACAAATATAATTTGTATGTTATCATTTAAAACGTTTTGTGGGTTTATTGATATTTTTTGATACACCGTTTTATGAATAGAATTTTATTTGCCAGTTATGTTTATTGAGGTAATGTGTTTTACATCATCATATATGCCTTACAGGCTACAAGTCAAAGAGTTTAAGACTCTACAAGTGTATGATTTCACAGTGCAAGAGCACATGTGCCCCAATAATCTCTACATTGTTCAACTGGATTCCTCCCTTCCCCATTCCTATATACCTCTTCCCGCTATTCTCTCGTTTCTGCAAAATATTGATGACACCATATAAGGAAAAACGTGTGAGTATATGAAAACCACTTAAAACATAAATTGCTACATTGATAGAAGAATGAAAAAGAAGGAAGTGTTTCTCCAAAATTTTAAGGATGAGTACTTTGAAAGAATAGATATTTTTGTTCTTTCATATACTTTGATCAACTTTACATATTTTCCTGTAAGGTAGTATGGTTCTACTCTAAAGGTATTTAGTAAAGTAATTTTCTCTTGTCTGATGATAACAGTATTACGACTTGATAACCTTGCTGAAGACACAAGATGCACCAGGTTTTATTGAGTGTTTTCTGCTCTACCCTTATGTAACATGATATATGACAGATACATATGTGTAATTGAGACCCAGTTGAAAATTCAGTGGATGTCCAGTGGATGTCAGATAGAGTTAAGTGGCTAGAAGTATTAAAAGTAAACTTCAATTAGATTATTTAAAATCTTGAATTGAAAAATGACGCTTTTGCATTCATGTCATAAGCCACTAGCACATTGAGAAAGATTGATGAAAATTGGACCCAGCAGGTGTATCTTCACAAGTCTGGATCTATATCTCACAAGTAGAATTTCAGGGGGAACCGGTGAGTGCAGATAAGACAAGCCCCTCTCCTATCTCAAGTAATATGCTTTCATACATGAGATTATCTGCAGATTTTGAATGCGCTTATTAGATCTGTCAGCACCAAGGAGCTCAGGAAGTCACAGAGATCTTCATGTCTGTGGCAGATCACGAACAACCTAGTAGCCTGTCAGTCACCACTTCCCCTGAGACACGGGAACCAGCCCCACCCTCCAACCACTGACCTTAGTTTTCTTGCTAACAGGGACCTCAGTTCCTCAACTTCTCCCTCAGAGCCAGCCAGCCAACAGGATGCCTCTCTTGGGAGCTGTAATCTTCTCTTCCTTCTGGGCCTGTGA